TAAGCACCACCATTTTATTTGAGATGAAAAAAGATTCCATAAGAACTATGTCACTATATTTATTTATATTGACATATTTAGTCCCTAATATATTCTCTAAAACCCGAGGGGAAATAAGATACTTTACCTGCACACTGAGGTGGTTGTGACCAGTACCCGTTGAAACATTTCACTTCTACTTCCCCAAACAGTTCAAAAGGTTTGATGCATTCATAACGTGCAGTCTGACCAATTAGATACCTAGGCTTCTCATTTAGTATAATAGCATTTTCCACTTTGGGTGGATTCTCACAGGAAATTTCTGAATAGAAAGAAAAAAATAACATCTCTAACGTAATGATCATTTTGAGTAGCAAATCAATGAATGGGATAAGGGAGATTTAAAATCAACACTTAATCTGTCATGAAAGAGTGCCAATTTAGGAAATTTACATATAAGATTAAAGAAAAGGAGATAAATATCTTTTGGTAAGATTTAAGCTTGTGGGAAAATGAGAGTTTTTCTGGACATTTCCCATTTTTAGTAAAATCAATATTACAAATTATATAAATTCAATATGAATTTGTAAACCACACGAAAATAATAATAAAAAAATCCTTTGATGTCAAATTTTGGCTTGCAATCATCCTGTTTATGAATGTGATTTTAGGCCCTTAGAAAAATAAACATGGTAGGCACTTCCTTAGACAATAAATGAAGAATTAACACACTTTAAAGAGTATTAGAGTTAAAAGGAGAAGATGATTAACTGAGGATCCAAACAGGAGATGAGAAAAAGAACAGAAAAATACATGTTTAATTTCTAAAAACACTCTTCAATTATCATTATTATTATTTTTTTGCCAATGCTTAAGGACATTTCAATGAGAATTCAAACTGTAATTCACTAGTGAGATTTGGGTGGGTGTAAAGAACAATAGGCCACAGCTACAGTTCCTAAACTGGAGCACACATTGAATCCCTTGGGAATTGTTGAGACACTTACAGTGTTGCAGCCCCAGAGTTTTTGACACGACAGGTCTGAGTGAGCCAGTGAATTACAATGCATTTCTAACGATTGGCCAGAAGATGCTGATGGGGCTATTGCAGGGACCATAGTTTGAGAACCACTGGGCTCAGACTAACCACTGAGAACACAGTTTCATTCCTTTATGTTAAAGCATAAACCTTCTTTGACCTGGCCTCAAACAATAATCTACATCCATTGTTTAAATGACGTTAGAGGGAATTGTATCTTACATTACTTAAGACATTTTGATAAATAGATTCTAAAATTTTATCGAAGTACCTTTGCATATTGGCTTTCCTATCCATTGGCTTTTAATACACTGTATAAAATTAGGTCCATACAATTGGTAATTATTTGGACACGTATAAGTCACTTTTTCTTCTGACCTATATGAGTCCTTCTTCGGGCCTATGGGTATGGCGATACCAAAGTTAGGTAGGCCAAAACAATCTGTTTCTGAAAGAAAAGAACATGTACTTCTTTGGTAAATCTTTTAAAACACATAATAACCAATATCTAGAATGTAGAATAATAAGTACACATCCAACCAATGTGCACTGTATACAACTTTTATAAGTTGAAAAACTGTGTTAGAAGTCTTTTGACTTAATTATATTGAATTGTCCTGTTTATCAAAAGTAAAATATGGGGACAATGATATGGGAAGTCTGAAAAGGTAGAGATACATGTAATGCTTGATATCACATTTCTTCCACTGAAATTCTTTTTTGCTCATACGAGCCATCTACATTATGCATGTATTTGTATTTTTGGTTTCTGTCAAAATCTGTTACTTTTAATTATATCAAATATCTTAGAAAAGTATATACTTCTAAGGAGATAACTGATAAACTAACAGTAAATTGAATAATGATGAGCTTGCTGAGCAGGGACCAGCTGTGATCCAGGCACAGAGAGGAGGAGTCTGTGGACGTGTATCAGAGGATGTCGAATGTGCACATGAAGTGACATGAAAGTGAAATAATTTGGGCTCATGCTGTCACATTTTTATTATTAGTAGGGTTATTAATTCTCTACCAAACTCCACAACTTTCTAGAGATACCTTGTTAAATTCTAGAATTACTGCCTGGTTTCATATTTGTACCATTTATGCTCTGAATTAAGAATATTGATCAACTTTAGAGTAAAATTAAATACACTGTACTTATGCATTCTGGTGGATGAGACCATTTTCCTCCTAAACACTTTATAGATGCAGATCCTTTAGTCCTAAAACCTTCTTCACATTCGTATACTATTTCTTCTCCATACTGGTAAGTGTCTGCTTTGTGAAGAGGAAGACTATGTGGAACCACATATTCTGGTGGT